TTCTTGATACTTTCCGAGAGTTGGCGGTTGAACTCAGAGATATACTGGGGAGTGATTCTGTTTTCTTGGCTTCTGATGAACTGTATCATGTCTTTATCAACTTCCTCAATATAGCATTTATTGAATACATATATTAGTTCCTCCATCTGTGGTGTGGGTGGCCTGTCGAAGTCGAACGTGAAAGCGATTGCTAGATGGTCAGAGCACAGATCTGGTATAACTTCTATGTCTCGGATGTTGTTTCTTATGTTTTTGGTACATAGAAATTGATCTGGTGTAGTGTCTGGATTATTTGGCATAATGAATGTAGGAGGTGTATCGATTTTTGTGAACTCTGTATTGTCCGTAAAGTTTTCCATCTGTTTCTTTTTTCTTGCATTGAGATTAAAGTCTCCTATTATTATGACATATTCATATTGGGCAGCTTTGACAAACAAGTTTTCTTCAATAGCCAGAGATGTAGGATGTATGTATACTAGGAAAATGTGTAGTTTTTCATCTAAGAATGGCAAGGTGACATGGATGGTTTCGTTCAGCCTGTTGTTCATGTGCGGTGGATTAGCTTTTCTCAGTTTTAAGCAGCTGTGTGCTTGTGCTAGACTTCCTCCCCTGATATTGGTATTCAGAATTGAGCCATATTTTTGGACTATTGACCAGTTCCTATAGTTCGATTGTTGGCATTCTTTTATATTGGTTTCAACAAAAAGATTGCATTTGATGTGATTTTGTTCTACATAGTGATTTATCAGGTGTTTTTTATTGTTGTAACCATTGATATTGGAGTATAAGGTTCTTTGTTGTTGTATGTTATAATGCTTTCTTGCTATTTTATGGATGTTGTATAATGAATAGTAAATTGCAAGACTAGTGTGTAGTTATGTTATAGGCACGACAGCTCTGTTGTTTGGGAGCAGGCTGTGGATCCAAGAAGTTATGTATTTTGGGGGACCTTTTGCCAGGCGCCACTCAGTTTTCAGTAGTAGGAAAACTAAGAAAATTCAATATTTACCATAGAATTTGAAAATCTAATGAAACACCAAATAACTGTACCAGAGAAATATAATTCTTTAGATGTTTGGAGCAGGTTCATGTGACCCACAATTTCAATTATACCTTCAGTAACACCTTACTGTGCAGAAAAATGATTAAATCACTTCCTCAGTGTTGTATAAGTTAAATGCTTAAGCAGAACAAAAAAATGTAGATATCTCAAGATACTCCCCTTCTATATAGGCCTATATTTCCGGTTCACAGAATGACTGGACTCCCATTATGATTTAGTTAAGTGGTATTTCAAATATAAAATTAAAAACTGTTGTTACGAGTAGTAAGACTTGAGTAGTGGTTCAACTTGGTGCTGCGCACTACTGGATCATCAGGAACAAAAGTGTAATCAAAATTGATCTGACCTTAATGTCTGCGGAGCATGTGGTGCTGCTCTGTCCTTCACTGCCAGTGAACTCCAACTCCAAACTCTAGCCGGTGCAGTTAAAAAAAAAGGTTTCCTGGACTTCCTAGTCACCCTTCAACATCGTGGACGGCACAACAAGGTGGGATCAAGAGAATAGCCCCAAAAATGAAGTTGAGACTTTCTAGTCACCTTGTGGCATCATGGATGGCTCAGGATGGGATCGAGAGGAAAGTTCCAAAATTAACCGGAGGCTACTACTAGCAACAGGCTAGCACGCTATGACGATGGCGTCCCACCAGGACATCCACCATGAAAAGGCCAATAAATCTGTTGGAAATATACCAAATTGAAAACATTGAATAGGTTTATGGACTCTAAAAACGCTCACCTTCCGTCTGGAATGGCCGAAAATAAGGGTATCAAACCCCACAAAGGTTGGATGGAAAATGGGAAAATTCGTGCCCATCTTGCCTACTCTCGGTAGAGAAGAAGGAAATCAAGAAATTTCAAGAGTTTCCTGTGCACTCAGAAAACAAAACCGTTTATAAAAACATGTTTCGAATTAGAAATAATTCACTGCGCAAGTACAGCTGGAATCTTGACTAGTTGATAAATATTACCAACAGAGAATATTGAAATACCTAGATTATTTAAGGAAAATGTCCTAATGGGCCTTTGCCCGTTTTTAAAGAATTGTGAAGTTAGGTCTGACACAGAACTATAGTAACATTGGTCTAACCAAAAATGTTGCCAGCAGGCCGAAAATAAAAGAAGAAGGTTATAAATTCACAAAGGCTATGGACGAAGCGAAATAACCTAACAATCCACATAACCAATTAAACTGTCAGACTGAAACTGAAATATGAATATAAACAATTACAACTACTTCCAATATAACTTCCTGTGGATCCATAATTAAATTGAAAACAGCAAGGACATATTAATTTCGAACAGGTTTGTCAAACTGTGCATTTCAACTTTTATCAATTCAATCAGTCAACAGCAACTAGAAATGTAAATCGTTTATCATTACAGCTAGGAAGAAGGACAGATCAACACCACTGCTATGGACACCTGAAAAATACAACCCTGAAACTAATAGACAGTCACACCAGGAAGACAAAGGAATCTTCAAGTTCAGCTGACAAGAGGTCCAACGCCAACAGGATATTCAATCCACCTGCCATAACAAAATGTAAAGTGTTGCAGTCACATAATCTATTGAGTATCTTACATCATCATAATATACTGGGTGTTACTCTTGGTTAACTTAATAACAAACCCATATAATAAAGGTAAAAAAGGAAAATACATGTTACAATGTTCATAAACTTTGTTTCCCTCAATCGGAGCTGTTGGTGTGGATAGGTCTGGTTCGTCTAGATTTAACATTAGGGTGTACATTTTGTTTCCTGAGAATACAATTGTAGTGTCTATTTTGTAGCTCTCGATGAATTTCTTTTTCAATAAAAGTATCAGTTTCTGTCTGTCCGTGTTTTTTGGATTGTTGATTTTAGTGATGTACGTGTCAATTATGAGGTCATGAATTGTGACGGCTGAGTGAATTCGACTTGTATTAGTAACTCTTGTATCAAGTTCTGAGGATTTTTTGTTGATTGATTTAATTTTTACGTTTGGAATTCCGTCTATTGGTTGTTTTGGTCTACGGGGACATTTGATTGACCAGGCCATATGGTCACCATCCCCACATGCAGTACAAGATGGTGGAAGATTTGATTCACATGAAGTGTCTTTATATGCTCCTTTGCACCTTGAACATATTGGGGAGGACTTGCAATTATCTGTTGTATGCGTGAATTGCATACATTTTGTACACGGTGTGGGTACTGGAGGTGGTGGTTCATTGGGATGAACAGCATAGTGTTTGCATTTGAAGTATATGCCTTCATTAAGTATTTTTTCGAAGGAGTTTACACACCCTGTAATTACTCTTATATGAGGACATGGTTTGTTTGTGGCACGGGACACGATCCGTTTGCAGAATCTATGATTTATATTGATAGCATTCAAGTGTTCGCTAAGATACTTTTCATTAATCTCCATATCAACTGACAACACAACTGCTGAGTATGTGGCTGCTAAAGGTTTGTTGACTGTTTGCGTGGGTCTGTTATCTGTTGTTTCTTCATATGCTGTGATAATTTCACTCTTCATAATTTCTTTAAGTGTTGTAACAAGGGATTGTTTTGGAATATCACTTTTCAGTACAAATCCTTTTCTGGTAGTGAGTATTTCATCCTGTGATGCTGGGTGATAGGAATCCCATTTGTCTGCTATTTGAGTTCTTGTGATGGTTTCATTAGCTTTTGTCAGGTAGTATATGTGCTGTGTGTTTTTTGATGTTCAACATTTTTTGCGAGTAGTTTATCACTTTCTTCGCTGTCTGGCTCGAAGTCTGGTTCACAGGCTTGATGTTTTGTAGAGTTTTTTGTTGTGTACTTTTTTGTTGTGGATTAGTTGTTTTTGCTGCTGGGATACTGGTGCTCGCGCTTGGTCCTATTATGATATCTGTTATTTGTTGCTGCGAATAACTTGGTTTTTTAGGAATATTTTCCAGTTTTCTTCTCGGTTTTCTTTTTAATCTGACTTTTTTCCATTCTCCATCGTCATCTAACTCCATTTCACTATAACTTCCCTTACTTTCTGAACTCATGAGGTCTTATTAAGAGAATAATAAATACTATCCTTACTGTATGGCTGTCTCTCACAGACTGTTTGAATATAAAATTCTCAGATATTCTCCAAAATCACTAAAACAGAATTGTAATAGTGGACTATGGATTTCTCCTATAGGAAAAGTTTCAATCAAAGGAATATCGAGAGGAATATTTCCTTTGATTTTTCCATGAAAAGGAAAAAAACTAACTAACAAAATACAAAACTCAGGTAACAGATAGCAACAAATAAATAGTAATAATTGGTTCTTAATGTAGAATAAGCACCTGATTAAATATTCACTAAAATAATTGAATTTTGATATGATTTGGTAACTTATTCATTGAATTGTTCAAATTGATGTCGCACATAACAGAGAAACATATTTTTCTGAAGAATTATTCATTTTGTCACTCATCGATGAATCAATTCAATCACGTCACATTTTGATCAACAATTTTTTTCAAATGGAACCCCTATAAGCCCACCCACATGTCTCTCTAGAACACTACAAGGGTAATAATGACATATCTTTTTTGTATTTCAGTGCAGTAACAAACAGCAGTATTCATTCAAAAATCAACAACTAGTTCATGAATTGCCTTGCAGTTCGAATAATTTAAATTTTTTCGAAAACATGGCATTTGACTTAAAGGTTGCACTTGTTTTAACTTGTTGAACCAGAATATGTAAAAATATACAGAGTGTTCCATTTGAAAAAATAAAGTTGCTGTCATTTCCAGAAATACCGGATTTTCCCCATATTGGCTTGTAATGTGATCAAATCCAAAATTGTTGCTCATATAACTGTACCAAATTTCAGAAAAAACCGTTTGTGAACGCATAAGTTACAGGGGTGGCCCGATACCATGTATCATCCGGTATATTTATATTTCGATATTTTTTGTTCCAGGGGAACACACCAATACGAACATAGAAAGACGGCGAGCGAAAGAAGAAGGTCCGCAGGGGACGAGAACTTCTTCAGGAGCCTGTCGCACGTGCGCACTCACACCAATTCCGGCAAGCAGTTGTCCGATCTAGAAATCCTCGAACAGGTAACATCCAATAATTAATTGTCCTCTTTGATAAAATTGGGGAAGTTGCTTTCAGATGAATTTTCATAAAATAAGTTCGGAATTCCACAGTTTCATATCCACGCTGTATAGAATGGCGATCAATAAAGTCCAAGTCGTTTTCATTTTCAAAATGAAGTAATTTCTAATTTTCCAAAATTAGCAAATAGCTAACGAATGAAAACGAATAAAAAACAATAGAAGAAGAAGAACACAATTTGGCATCATTGTTGATAGTTATATCATAAAAAATAGCGATGATCACCTAACTAATAAAAACTATAAACTGTAGACGTAGGCTAACGAATAACTGGGGATCAAAAATCGACACAAGTGAAACTGATGAAGAAAAACATACATAACTATAATATCAGATCAGGACATACACCAGGTGATCAAGATTCTGAAATCAATCAATCAATCAATCAATCAATTTATTGGTATCAAAATACATAGATAGTATTTATACAAGTCAATAAAAGTACAGTACATTTAAAATTTCAACATATATATGTCAATAAAATAGATTACATTCAAGAATGTTGATAGAGGAGAACCCTCCAACATCATGCCAACCAAACTTTCCACTAACCAGTCCTACCAAATGCTATCGCCTTTGAGCCCAGTCAAAATTCAGGAATTCTTGATAACTATAGAAAGCATGATCAATCAGGAATTTCTTTACATGCGATTTGAATGTTTTTATCGGTAAATCTCTAACCTCAGTAGGAAGGTGATTGAAAAACTTAACAGCCCAGTAATTTGTGCCATTTTGGCATTTCGTGGTGCTATGATAGAGAATTAAAAGATCAGCTCCATTTCTAGTTGAGTAATGATGAATATCACAATTTCTAGTATATAAAGTTAAATTTGTTCTAATATGCAGTAAGTTTTGTAAAATATATATACAGGGAAGTGTCAAGATTTCCATTGAACTAAAAACATGACGACAGTCATCTCTATATCGAAGCCCAGCTACTATTCTTATAGCTTTTCGTTGTGAGGCAAATAATCTATTGATGTCTGCATGACCCCAGATAATGTTAGCATAGCTAAGGTGTACATGAAAAGTAGCGTGATAGGCAGTCTTGAGTGAGGTGAAGGATACAATATTTGCTAAATTTCGAAGAACAAAAATCGAGCTATTAAGTTTCTTGGACATTATTTCTATATGATTTTGCCAGCTCAGTCTTGAATCTAAATGAATGCCTAGAAACTTGACACTTTCCAGGTACTCATTTTCATTATTCCTACACAGAGTTAATAACAATTTGTTTGTTTTGTTTTCATTTAAAAAAGGTCATTTGCAGCGAACCAAGATTTGGCATTTTGTAGCGCCTCTTCACTCCTGGCTTCCACATCTGCAGGAAGTTTACCACGGAATGAAATGGTTGTATCATCAGCAAACAGAACGATTTTTTCTAGATTGGCAGAACTTGGCAAGTTGTTAATGTAAATCAAGAACAACAGTGGTCCCAGAATAGATCCTTGTGGGACCCCGGCACTTAACTCCCGCTCTGCTGAGATTTTATCTCCAAGTTTGACTCTTTGCTTCCTGTCTGACATATATGATTTTATTAAAGTTATTATTAAACTATTATCATCGAAATTGTAACATTTTAGCTTTTGTAGGAGCTTGGAGTGAGAGACACAATCGAACGCTTTCGATAGATCACAGAAAATTGAGCAAACCGACTCTTTACTTTCAAAACCTTCCTTTATGAAACCAACTAGATCCATCATAGCTGTAATTGTGCTATGGTTTTGTTTAAACCCATACTGGCAGTTTGTGAATATCTTATATTTTTCAAAAAACCTTGTGATTTGTAGTGCTATGGCCTTCTCAAATATTTTAGAAAATACAGGAAGCATAGATATGGGCCTATGATTTGTGACATCATTTATATCCCCTTTATTTTTGAAAATTGAAATCACTAATGCTTCTTTAAGGATTTCTGGAAAAACACTTGCATTGATATATTGATTTATAATGTCAGTAAGAGGATATAGTAATATTTCTCTGATACTTTTTATTATTTTAGTACTAAGACCATTGATATCCCTGGTGGTTTTATTTTTGAGACTAGATATAATGTCCCTCATTTGAATATAAATTACTTCATCAAAGCTGAATATATTTCTTGGTTTAATTATGTTTGCAGTCACAAGCTGGGAATCACTTTCATCTTTAGGAATGTTTCTTAGTAATTCGGAGGAGACATTTACAAAGAAGTTGTTCATTTGTTCAGGAGAAAGGTCCGGTTGCTTCGAATTTTCACTGGTTTTAGTTTTTCTACACCCATTTATAATTTGCCAAATTGTTTTCACTTGACAACTAGAGTTACTAATGAGTCTGTCATTTGCAGCTTTTTTTTGCATCTGCTATTGACTTTTTATACATTTTTCGGAAGCGGTTACGTTCTGTTAAAAATACAGCACTCTGGTTCTTTTTGTAGCATTCATTTAGAAATTCTAAATGATCTCGCTTCAACCTTAGTTCCTGGGAAAACCAGCTGCAGTTTATTTTTGAAGATTTTTTATTATGATATGTTTTCAGAGGAAATGATTTGTTATAAGCCTCCAAGACCAGACTAAAAAACATTCTGAACTTTGATTCAGGTTGAATCTCATTTGATTTAATGAATGACCAGTCAATGTTAGATGCATACAGATGAAATGCATCCTGACCTTTCTTAGTTATCGGTCTACATACCTTTTTGATAATTTCCCTTCTCATATGATTTTGATTAAGTTGGAAAGTCAATGTTTTTCGATTCACATTGATTTGAGGTAAAGTTACAGAAGACATTATCAATGCAATTGTTTAGTCTAGTGGGTGTGAATATTTTTTGATCAAAGCCAAAACCTTGAATGAGATCCAGTAATAGCCTCTCATTCATCTCATTTGTACCAAAATGTACATTGAAGTCACCAGTCAATATGATTTTTTTATTAACACCAATTTCTATCATAATTTCTTCTAATACTTCCATAAAGGTAAAGAAATCCCCAGAGGGTGGTCTATACACTGAAATGATAAATATATTCAAACCTGTTATGGTTACTGCACTAATTTCAACTATTTTTTCAATTGATTTGATAATCATGCTTTCCACAGTTGAAAATGTATACCTACTGCTGACATAAATAGCTGATCCACCCCTAGTTGTGGATTTTCTACAGTAAGCTGCTGCTAGATTGTAGTCTTTCAACATTGAAAAAGTTATTTCATCTTCCTTCAGACTATGCTCACTCAGGCACAGTACATCTATATCGTTAAGGTGTAAAAATATTTCAGTTTCATTAAATTTGTCAGGTAATGAACCTATGTTAATATGGACTATTTTGAAATTTATTCTAGTTGACATGACATTGGATGGCTCTACACGACCCTGTATTTGTTTCAATTAAATGTCAGTAGATAGTTGATCAAAAGTTGAGATAGGGACATGTGAGCCGTTTTGACCAATAATGAATAGTTTCGGCAAAAAAAAATTTCCTGAAGTTGAAAAATGTCGATTTTTCACACCCTATATCTCTGTAATTATTTCCGCTAGACCCCAAGTGTGATACATCGATGAAATCAGCTCTTCAGAGAGAATCTGAAAATGCAATAAAATACAGGGTGTTCCATTCAAAATAACAAAGTTGTTGCTACTTTTCGATAGAAGCGGCAACGCCGCAGAGCTGAAAATATTTTAGATCGATAGACCAAGAGCAACTACGTGAGTAACCAAAATTTCAGAATGATCCTATGTCCCGTTCTCCATAAACGTCTGAAGTACCATCGACCGTGAGTTACCCTGTATATGGTGTGCCATTCAAAAAAATGATCGATTTTTTTACCCCGGATTCATGGTGCACCCTGTGTACTAGAATATAATTTTGAAGAGTAGCTTATGAAGTCTTCAATAACTTCCGCTGAATTTTTTTTTCTATCTCCATCAGCCTAGCAGCTATGGTCCGAGCGAGCTTAAGTGGGGGAATAACCATCAATATGATTAGTTTTACACAGATGAACATCATTTTGGACAGTGTCGTGCATTTTTATTGAAATAAAAAGGGGTCGATGTTTCATAAAACCATATTAGGCATTTTTTTAAAGGAAATTTAACCTCATCATTATTCTGCATGGTTTGAAACCCCCATATATGAATTTTCACCTTCTTTCTATCGAGGGTTTCGAAAAAACAGGCACATCGAAAATGCATTTTTGCGAGCGTATATACTCGTTTTAACAGTTTTCAGAAGAATGCTCGTCTATTCATGATAACGTAGAAATTATACGCATTGTTGGTGAGCATGCCGTTAGTTTCGGAAGAACAGCACAGATTTTCAATCAGCGACACCCTACTCGCCCACTCATTCATAGTAGAACGGTGTCAAAAATAAATAATTTGTTCGACATATCAGGTTCTACTCATTGGACCAGAATGAGGAATGATGTCAGTAACCACGAACTTCAAAATGATTATATAATACGTGCATTTCGGAATAATCCCAAGGCTAGCATTGGAGAAGTCGCTCGCAATTTGAATTTGGACATTACTTAAGTTTGGAGATGTCTCAAGAAGAATAAACTGAAAGCATTCAAGTCGAAATTTTTGCACACTTTTGGAAGGAGACAACATCAGAAGACTTGAATTTTACTTCTAGGCACAAGGCAACTTCTTGAATGACAGGATGTTCTTGGAAAAGATTATTTTTACTGATGAAGCCACATCGAAAACTGACCGCTGCTTGTGTTCTACACAAGTAATACTTTTGAAATATCGCTATTGATTGACTGAATGAGTTCAGGAGTTAGTGGGCGGACTAAATGTGACGATTGTTCTTCTGAAAATTCTGTCAAAATGAGTATTTTCGCTCGCAAAAATGCTGTTTCGATGTGCAGGTTTTTTCAATACCCTCTATAGTAAGTAGGTGGAAATTCACATATGGAAGTTTCAAACCATAAAGAAAATTATTATGAGGTTAGATTTCCTGTAAAACAATGCCTAATATGACTATGAAAAATCGACCTCTTTTTATTTAAATGAAAACGCACGGCACTGATCATATTGATGGTTTTTCATACCACACCAAATTTGGTTGGAATGACATGACTAAAAACTGAGATATTGAGGGGGGGGGCGTTTAAAGTGGGACATGCTGTATATGTCACAAAACAAATGTGGCTAGGCTTATACCACATAATATTAAATTATATCAGAAAATAACTAATAAATCTTATTCTGAGGAAATATATCATCTTGAATAGTTATGGAAAAATAATAATCCATTCATCATTACCAAAAATTTTTGTGCCTCTTCTTTTTATTATACATCTAAACAACATAAATTCTTGTTTCGAATTCTGTAAATTCATATTATATGCTGACGATCTCAAAATTCTCTCTCAAGTAAGTAGTGTAACCGATTATTCCTTGATCCAAAATGATTTGAACAGATTTTTTAACGTCTGTCAAATCAATAAACTCCATTTGAATTTGGATAAATGTTGCTTTATCTCTTTCACTCGAAACCACAACATTTTATACGATTATAATTTTGATAATAATATCCTCATAGAAGTTAATGAAATGAAACACCTAGTTGTGATACTAGGCAAAAAACTCTCATTCTCAACTCACATGGATTATGTTGTATCAAAATGTAATAGAACATTAGGATTCATAATCAGACATCGCACAAAACTTCACCTCTCTTCATGCCATGAAAACCTTATTCTACTCCTTTGTATACAGTAAACCGAATTTTGCAAATGTTTTCTGGCGACCACAATACGCTATACAGTGTGTCCCAGATTCGCTCCTCTGTACAGGGATCTCGGCTCCTATTATACCTACAGCAGAGGTTAAATGGGGAAAGTTCTAGAGAAATGTTAGTGCATTCGGTAACCGGCTTCAGATTTACGATCGGATAATTGGTTTTGGAAATATCGGCGAAAAACCGAAAAGTACGGATTTCGTTTTTTGCCAGTAAATCCGAAACGGTTAATTTGACAGCTGTCAAAATGTCACATTATCGGGACACTTTTTCAAGGCGAATAAGATAGCATATATGACATGTCAAGATCGTATTTTGTTATCCCGCAAGCCGCCTCAACTTCCATTTTTCTTATGGCCCCCATATTGGAATTTTCGATTTTTGGAAAGAGCGTGAAATTTCAAATTTCATATGGTCACACTAGAGGCTCGTCGAGAGCAATCCGACATAATATTTTGATTCACAATTATGAATGTCTTAATCGACTTCCATGATATTTTGTTGATATACCGGGTGTCCCAGTATACCTGTTTCAATGGATTATCTCGATCATTTCGAAAGTAAAAAAATTGAAAATTTTATGATCTCCAATTCGTTCAAGGAACCTTCAACTGAGAAATACGAAAATTGAAAGTCACTTCCGGTTTGACCGGAAGTGACTCTAACTTCTTCATTTCAAATGGCACCCTGTATATTTTTTGCAATTTTGCTTTCTACTCGAAATTACCTTTCCAACGATGTATCACACTTTGCATTTCACAATAGATTTGATAGAGAAAACGAAAATTGAAATTTGAAATCGAAAGAATTGCAGTTGACTACGATATTTTGTGTACATAATGATTTGTTCCTCAATAATTGATGATTCATGAACAATTTTGAATTCGAGATGATAATGAGAACGTCAAATTTCAAATTATTATAGAAATATGTAGTAGAACTGGAAGAATTAATCATTCTTAAATGAAAACCTTAGTGTGCCATGGAAACATTTGAATACATTTGTTTGTGTTTTCGACAGTTAATAATTCTCAATGGTTGTGAGCAACATCCAAAAATGAATATGTGAAAATGATATGATAACTTCACAATTCAAGAGAAATTGGATATGATACTGATTTTAATTCCAAATTTCAATTTGTCGTTTTCTTCATCATATCAAATTAAAATACAAAGTGTGATACATCGTTGGAAAGGCAATTTTAAGAAGAAAGCTAAAAATGCAAAAAATATACAGAGTGCTATTTGAAATTAAGAAGTTTGACCGGAAGTGACTTTCAATTTCCGTTTTCCTCAGTTGAAGGTTCCTTGAACGAATTGGAGATCATGGAATTTTCAAATTTTTCACTTTCGAAATGACTGAGATAATCAATTGGAACAGGTATACTGGGACACCCGGTATATCTCAATGTTCCAACTCGTTCTCTGAGGAATACTCGTCTCTTCTCTGAAACGTTTTGCAGAACAAACTCAGGAAAAAACTCTCCCCTACATAGAATGGTGACACTTTAAAATGAAAAGTTCGATGATATTGAGTTTTTTAATCATTCACTACTTGTACTCAAATTGAAAATCAAAGGGAAATACTTAATTTCATAGCTAACATCAAATGTTTCTTGAAAAAGTGTTAGGTTAGGCGAAAATTGTAATCTGTATATTTTTTTCCTGTACGCTCAACTGTATCCGTGGATAACACTTTGGGTTATGCCTGTTGTCATCCTATATGAATTCAATGAATAAAAAAAAAATCAATTTTAATAAAGATATGTTTAAGATCATGTTGACCCACCGTCTGACGATAACCTCAATCGCAGGTGACAGTCCTGAACCTGGACACTGGCGAGCGCGTGCCCCTTAGCGTCGCAGAGGACAAGATCCCGCAGTGCCTCAACCCGCTATCGTTGCACATCATGCGCATCACGTCGGAGTACGTGAGCGGTTCGGGAGCCGAAAAGGAGAAGGAATCCGACGAGGAGAGCGTCGACAACAGGAAGACGGAGGTGTTAGTGGGTGAGTTTTTTTTTATTGAAAGGAAATATTCCTGGGTAATATCCCGAGACCATGACAAATAACCAACTATTATTTTCTTCATAATTCTATCGAGAGTTCCTTGTATTTTGACAATTTGATGAGACCATATGAACATTAATAATCTCCCTGGAGCTAAAGCTCTCGGGAGTTATTCTATGATTATTTATTTCATTTCATTTCATTTATTTATACTGCTAAAACAACAGGCTTCAGCCCAATTACAGAATTACAGTTTTATCACATACAGTACACACTTGAAATTACTTCCGAAATTACCTAAAAAAATTAAAAACAAAGAAAGATTCACAACACAGTCCACTAACATGTTCACGTTAATTATTTTAAAAAGTGGAAAATATACAATAAAGTAGATAATAATTAATAATTGGCAACAGTGCCTTTTATTCTGCTACTACTAGAAATGAAAATGTCAGTATCCCAGCAGTTAATATGCTCATTTACAGATTTCTGGCATCTTACAAAAGGTGAGCAGGATGACACATCTATATAAAAAAATATGATTTCGCTTACGTAATCTTACTTCAGGTACATGTAGTTTTATTGCAAAGAGTAAATCAGGTACATTCAGCTTATCATGACCTATGTCTGATACAAACAGCATATCCGCGATATTTCTCCGGAGCTGTAGTGTGTTTTGATTCAATTCTGATAGTTGAGTTTTGTATGAAATCATTAAAGTGGATACTTATGTTAATATGGTCGAATTGAATCGTCCCAAAATACAAGTTACTCGAGATGAATTGAAGAAAATCATAGTCTCCATTTGTCGAGTCATATTCAGGAAGATTATTTCATGAACAGTGTAAAAATACTGGTTTGTATGAGTTTCAACATTTATTTTTATTCAAGTTACAATTCTGTAGATACTATTTCAATAAAAATTCTTCTGAAGGCCGTCTGGGGTATTCTCATCATATCCATGTATGTACAATGTACAATACAATCAATTAATCTAAGGTTAGAGCGAAGAAAGAATATTACCGCTATTGATATCGTTAATACCTTTGAATTTAGGGATCAACCAATACAGATATTGGTATCGGTATATCGGCCGTATCGGCTTGGTAATAATGAAATGAAATATAATAGTCTTCAAAATGGTGTAACTTTTTACCTGGAAGAAACAGAAACACAAAAATAAACCCCCAAAAAATATATTTTGTTTAAAATAATACATATTTGCTCAAAAATATTAAAAAACAAACATAAACTCTAAGAAAGAAACCTAATATTGAACACAAAATATTTAAAAAACAGACATGAAATTCTAAAAAAATACCAACTCATTTTTAATATTAAAAAATTAACAGTAATTAAAAAAAAATACTTACATTAATATTTAAAATTAAGTTTCGGTAAATTATAATGTAATGAAATTGAATGTTCAGCTCTATCAGGCGTTAGTCAATTTCTAGCGCCCTCGTATACGTTTCCAGCTGAAGAAAATAGCTGTTCGCTCACTATACTACTGGGTGGTGGTGCTAAATATACCTACAGGGTTATGATAAAGTAATGCACAAAATTCATAAAACGTACAACGATCACTTTAAAAAAAATGCAAAAACACGTCAAACTGTTCTTTTTATTCCGATCTTTTGACATAAGTTACAAAAAGAACACGTCAAAGTTGTCAAAGTTATGACGTCATCAACAATTTTTTTTAATGGGAAGCTAAGATTTTCATTACATTATGTGATAGAGCTTGTGTTTTTACACAAGGGAAAAATAGTTGCAGTAGGGCTCACATAAGAAAAAAAAAAAACGAGAGAATAAATAAAAGACGAAATGAACGTGAGTTTCATAATAACGTTTCAATTAACTAAACAGTCCATTAAACCAAAACTATTTCTTATAGGAATTGTTCAAACTGTGTCTCGTTTACTAACTGACATAGGTCAAGACGATGGAAGACCGCATTTATAGAGTTTTCGATCATCTGCGGAGTTATACGAGTCATTTCGTGTCTTATTCGTTCCATTAAGTTTTCTAAATTGTCTGGCCGGTTAATGTAGACCCGACTTTTCAAATGTCCCCACAGAAAAAAATCAAGGGGGTTAAATCAGGTGACCTAGGTGGCCACTCCATTGGTCCACGTCTTCCAATCCACCGTCCTTCAAACTGGTTATCCAGAAACCTTCGAACAGTATGACCATAATGTGGTGGTGCGCCATCTTGCTGAAACCAAATACTGGAATCCAAGTTGTCCCCATTATTTGGATCCGGAAATGCCGCAAGTAGGTCCGGAAGCACTGCCATACGAAGATGTTCCAAATATCGGTCAGCTGTTCAATTCCCGCGAAAGTAATAAGGACCAATAAATCTTCCCCAGACGATTCCTACCCAAACATTAATTTTTTGGGGACGTTGGGTGTGTTTTGTCTGCATCCAGTGGGGATTTTCCCGAGCCCAGTAGCGGGAATTGTGTCGATTTACAGAACCACTTAGACAAAACGTTGCCTCATCGGAAAATACTACACTATTAAGAAAATTTGGATTTTCGTCACAATGCCGCATGAAGATTTCACAAAATTCCAAACGTCTGTCTGGATCATCTTCTGAGAGTTCGTGAACAAGATGAACTTTGTATGGGTGTAGTTTTTCTTTTTTCAACATCTTGACTACGAACGACTGACTAACATTTTCTTGTAAGGCAATTTCTGTTGTAGTTGCGTGAGGGTGTTCTTCTACTGACAGCAAAATATCTAACTTCACATCGTCGCTTATTCCTGGTCGTCCAGATTTTGGAGCATCCCTCACGCTTCCCGTTGCATCAAATTTTGCAACAATTCTGCTTACTGTGCTTCTAGCAATTGGAGGTCTTTCAAAATGTGTTGCGTTAAATAAAGCACATGCTTCTTCATGACTTCGAAGGCGATCGCCGTAACCTACCATCATTAGAATTTCTATCCTTTCTCTTTTGGTTAAACGAGCCATAATTATAAAACTGTGGTGACACTAATTGTACGACTGACACTGACAAACCGTTGTTTTAGTAAAACAATTGCAAAAATTTATATAAACGAATGTTCTTACTAGATAAGTTTAAGTTTGACCTCTTTTTATAATTGGTTTTGTTATTTCGTTTTACTTGGTTCTTTGGGATTTTCTCTCCTCGTTTCTATAAAATAAAAGTATTCGTATTATTTCAATATATTTGTAGAGGGACAAATCAGATGGTTTGCCCCAAAAAATGTCACTGCGTTTAACAAATTTTTCTATCAGGGAGTCTAAAAGAAAAATCCAGTAGCTTGTCAGTGACAATTTGTTTGAAAAAATTTTTGAAGGAAAGAAATATAGATATATTGAAAAAATATCGAATTTGTACTTATCTTTGGACGTTTCGGGACCGATTCTGCTCCCGTTCTCAACATGTAAATGCAAATTATTTTTCTTTGAAAGTTGTGCTGCTTATAGTTTGACACTTTTCAATATCATACTGATGTTGGCATATGAATGAGTGATTTTAGTCTACAAATGAGTTACAGGATGTTTTCATTAATTGATCTTGAATCTACCATTTTCATGTTCAGTTTTCAGTAGTGAATACCATGTTCTATCAATATCAACTGAACAGGAAGCAATGGTATTGTCTCCGTTTAGAAGAATGCAAGCGGATTCCTTTATTTTTCTTTTTTGTTATTTCGTTTTTTATTCGTTTTCTCGTTTTTTTTTTCTTATGTGAGCCCTACTGCAACTATTTTTCCTTGTGTGAAAACACAAGCTCTATCACATAATGTAATAAAAATCTTAGCTTCCCATTAAAAAAAATTGTTGATGACGTTATAACTTTGACAACTTTGACGTGTTATTTTTGTAACTTATGTCAAAAGATGCGGAATAAAAAAAAAAACAGTTTGACGTGTTTTTGAATTTTTTTCAAGAGTGATCGTTGTACGTTTTATGAATTTTGTGCATTACTTTATCATAACCCTGTATAATTGCACATTTATACAGTAGTGAAAAGTTATTTTTCTCTTTTTCCCACCACATCAAAGGATCTTCATTTTTAAAAAATATTTCTTAGTTTTATATACATTTTATATTCTTCTTCAATATAGGTATTTTCAGTAATTTAAAATTTACGCATAGAGTTTTCTCTTTGATTTACCACCATTTTAAATATATTTTCCAAGAAAAAACAATACTTGTAATTTTTTGCCGATATATCGGTATCGGCCAATATCGGCTATGTCTATATCGGTTTCGGCCGAAATCGGTATCGGCCTCAAAAAATCATATCGGTCGATCCTTACCTTTGATTAGAGCTTCTGTCCTTTTCTTTCTTGTTTGAGGAGAATATTGTAGGCTTCGCCTTTTTGCATTATGCGCAACCCTGGCAACTTTGAATTCGATATATCCAAATGGATTTGTCTTACGTTCATGTTCATTAAAGTAACCTTTCTGTATATAGTTTTCTATATCAATTTCAACTGTGTATTCCTAATATTCCTCACCATTTGGGCAATCACAAGAGATGGGGTAGTCGTACAAGATTCATAGTTTTTATGCTGGCAAAGAAAACATGAATTGTTTCAGACAAACCTTTAGTCTTCTTGATATCGATTCGCTCACATAATTACGAATTCCTGTAGTGGAAGTTGACCCAAAACGAGACATTTCAATTTTTGAGTGACTGATAGATATGTCAAAGTTTGACAACCATAGCACTCTTATGCTGGCGAACAGAATAGCCGCTCATATTGTGTGTTTACCTAAATAGCCGCTGATATCGCATATCATGTGACTTCAATCATGACATCTCATAGGTCCAGCCGGGTGTGAATGGAATAATCTCAGATATATTATGAATATGGAAAAAAAGGTTGGACACATATAAAGAAATACATTTTTTCACTCGTTTGTTTGCATCACTCGCCCTTCAGGCTCGTGCCACAAACTTCCACACTCGTGAGGAAAGGTGATTTTTCCCCACTTGTTGCACAATATACTATTTCACATGCAACCATATCCAAAATTCTTGTTTTGACCGCATTGGTTGACTCATTAAAAATGTTAATGAATGCACACTGCTTGAAACATCTGTTATTTCATCCATTATCAGAAAGAAAACATATCCAGGACTTCTAATTCTATCACAAATTTTATCCTGGAATTTCACACCAGTACCTGAATATATTTTCTCAGAACTTCATCGCATTCCTGCATTTACTCTTCACTGCTTTATCTTCTTTCGATTTTTTGAATTCAAAGATGAAGCATCAATCGCTAATGTTTTCATCACATTCGTTTTGGAATCGGAAAATATACATACTATCAATAAACACCTACAAACCCTCAACACCCTTCAGCTTGTGACTCTAGCACCATCAATAATTATTGTGCGAAAACTTTCGAATTAGCAGCATCTGCATTCGAACATAAATTCCATTTTGGTTGGGACTACTAGGTGTATCACTTGTTATTGACGATATTGAAAATAACATTTTCACGCTGACTTGAGTGATTCACTCAATTGTTTTTCCTTATAATAACCGGTGTATTATTATTTTGTTGAATTCGATATTTTTTACCTTTAAAATGATGTATAATACTTTATACGACATATGATTTCCAGAATTGCTAGAAGACATTAAATCATCAAATTATGATGAGTATCTGGTTAAAAAAATGAACATTTTCAAAATCAACCTGTATCTCATGAATGGAAACGGTTATGCAAAATCTGATCAGGCTATTTGGAGATTCGAAGAAAGTAGCACAGAAACGTAAAAACCAACCGAGAAACAAGGTAGTCTCAACCATAATGAGAGGCCCTGGTCAACCGAACACAAATATATTGGTACGCAACAGCCGAACACATACACACGACAAACATTGGAATGAATTGCATACTATTGTAGTCAGTCGAATACACTATGACTCCGGTCTAGAGATTGTAATTGATTATTTTCAAAAAATGACGTTCCTCCATCTTGAAAAAAAAAATGCCTAAAAAATATGATGGCAGTTGTAGAATGATGTAAGATGTGATTCTACTTCTAATTGCCATAAAAAAGGCCAAGAAAAGACTCAAAACTCTCCTTCGTTAATGTATCAATTCTTTCATTTGTATTACAGCAATGTTCCGATTTGTTCTAGGTGAGAACGGTTTGGAGGGTGGAGGTATCAAGCAGAAAACTGCTAAACTGAAGAGGTTTTTGGGGTCGACTGTGAAGAAGACGATGAACCGAGCTAAAACCATTGCACAAGAAGTTTCCCATGCACGCCATAAAGAGGACATCATTGATATTGTAGATAATGTTCATCCTGGGGAACAAACTTATAAATTGAAGGTAGGAAGAAAGAAACTGAAAGTCTTTGGGGAAATTCAAATATAAAAATTGCAGGAAGTTCACAGGTTATGACTAAATTGAAAGACTACAAGTCCTACAGATATTATTAATTGGTGTGGAATTGAATAATGTTATAAATGCATATATTGTGTTCATCGGCATGTGAGTTTGCTAGGATGAATTGACAGTTTTCATTTATTTCATCAATATCAATTTACCACCGATTACTCTAAACCTAGCAGATAATATTCATATCAATGAAAACCTAAAATTTTGTTTTAGGGAAGTAAGCTACAACGACGTCAGAGAAGTTGTATCAAATCTGAAAAATTCAAATTGTACCGATCCGTATGACATCAATATCAAATTCGTAAAAACCATTGCCAACCTAATATTATATCCCCTGACAAACCTGATGAATTCTTGCATAAAAATGCATATTTTCAAACGTTTTAAAACTGGCCAAGGTCATACCGATTCATAAAAAAGGTTCTGTAGAGGAACTATCTAATTAACGGCCTATTTTCTTGGTACCGATGTTTTCAAAGATATTTGAAATCTTAAATCGCAAATAGCCGAATATTTTGAAGCAAAAAATGACCTATTCAATAAATGCCAATTTGGTTTTCGAAAGAATCTCTCAACAACTCTCGCGATAAACGAACTGGTGCAAATCATAAATAATGGTTTTGAAGAAGGTATGTATGTCCACGCTGACTTTCATGACTTAACTAAAGCATTCGATTGCGTTCAGCATGATTTGCTACTGTTGAAACTACAGCAGTATAACTTAAGCTTAAATAGTAACAAGTCAATGTCATCTTACCTATCTGACAGGCAACAATATGTCACACGTAACAGTTATGTCTCTAGTAATGTCTGGATGAAACATGGGGTGCCACAATGCTCAATCTTGGGCTCTACTCTTTTCCTTATATATGTAAATGATCTATCCCATCATATTATCCATGGCAAAGTCATACTTTTTGCTGACGATATCACAACAATCAGTTCATCAAACAACCTGGATACTCCTAGATCTAATGTGAAAACCCAGAATAAGAAAATTCAAAACAGGTTTAAAGGAAACAAGCTGACTTCAAACGACGACAAAACTCAATCGCTGCTTCTTACCTCACGTCACTATGAAACAACCCCAGCAGATCCGGTGAAATTCTTAGGTGTTTATATTGACCCTTTTTTGACACCGGAAACGCAAGCCAACAAATTGACCAAGAAACTCTCTTCCATTATCTATATGATTAGAAATTCAAAAAGTAACAAATCTGTGGATATTCTCATGACAGCCTACTTCGCTTACTTCCATTCGAATATGACATATGCTCTTCTAAGCTGGGGTCACTCATGCCACCTATCTAAGGTCTTAGGAGTTCAGAGACGCTGTGTGAGAGTTATCTTATGACTGACTTACAGAGACTGTTGTAAGTCAAAATTCAAAGAATTGAGTATACTCACAGCTCCTTGTGCCTATATCCCCATATGTGTTGTCTATGTAAAAAAAAATTGGATGTATATAGTACAGCTGGAGATTCCTACGGCTACGACACACGTAACAGAGATAAATTGTTACCTAAATATCATCGCCTTGAATAGACCAGAGACGGTACTAGTTACTTCGGCCCCAAAATGTACAATGTACTCCCTCAAAAATGTAAATCTGAATTCAAATTGTTTTACTAAAATCTTCAAAAATTATCTTTTAACAAAAGCATTTTACTCAAGAAGAAGAAGAAGAAGAAGTCTTTATTGAACCACGGAAAATTACATTTTCATAGAGGTCCTTACTCTAAAAAAAACATGTCATATAAAAAAAAAAGGAATCATTAAAATTATAGAGTACATTTTGTCAGGTACATTGGTTGCGTAGTATTGATAATAGCCTAATTATATCACAGAATTTGTCACTACCTATCATTACTTTGCGTTTTTACAAAAAATCTTGAAAAGATTACAAATGTAGCCAATTCAAAGCGTCTATTTACTCATAAGGTATTTTTTCAGTTTTTTATTAAATAATTTGCTGTTACATTCTTTTATTTCAGCAGGAAGTTGATTATATATTTGAACACCTTTAAAGCAAATGGATTTTTTATAGGCTTCCATAGATGCATTGGGTAAGAATAACTTCTTGCTATTGCGTGTATTGTATGAGTATAAACTATCACATGTCGTAAATGACAGATTTGAAAATTTTTGACCGTTAATGGTTTGATGAATGTGATTGGATATTTGGAGTTCATACATATTATCTAAACTTAAAATATTGAAGTTTTTATAAAGATTAACTGTACTATATCTATAGGGCAGTGAATATATATTTTTGATGGCTTTATTTTGGAGTGTCCTCACTTGTTTCACCAATTTATTACAGGCTGGAAACCAAATCATTACCAGATATTGAAGGTGGCAGTGTATTAGAGAGTAATACACTGATCTTAGTAAAAATCTTGGAACATACCATGACAGACGCTTCAAGATGCCAATTGGGGCACTAATCTTTTTGGTCAAACGATTTATGTGATTACTCCATGACATTGTTGAGTCGATGTATAGACCTAGATATTTTATTTCACAGGTATATTTGATTTGGTTAGTGCCAAAGATAAGAGGTTCAGTTGAATTGATTTTATTGTTAGAGACAAACATGAAACGTGACTTCTCGGTATTTAAAGTCAATTTGTGACTTGCAAGCCATTTTTCAACAAGTAGGAGATCAAGCATCATGTCCTCTCTTATTTGTTCTATAGATCTACCTGAATAAAGTAGTATGGTATCATCAGCATACAATTTTATTTTCCCTCGGAGGCGCAGGTTTGACATTGAATTGACATAAATCAGGAATAATGTTGGTCCTAATATTGTGCCCTGAGGGACTCCACATGTTATTGTTTGATTAGTACTAGCTACACCATCAATTGCTACATGTTGTAGTCTGCCTGAGAGGTACTCTTTGAACAATTTCAAAACTACGCCTCTGATACCTGACCTTTCTAATTTGGACAATAGAATATGGTGATCAACTGTGTCAAACGCCTTCCTCAGGTCGAGAGACACCAGGCCAGTTTTATCATGATTATTGGTGTTTTGTTGTATCTCAGTGACTAAATCTATTGCTGCCGACCCTGTGTCACTCGACTTGCGGAAGCCATATTGGTGTTCATAAAAGAAATTTTTTTTGTTTAAGAAATTCAAGAGGCGATTATTAATTACCTTCTCCATTATCTTAGAGAACACAGGCAAAATTGATACAGGTCTATAGTTATTACAACTTGTTTTCTCCCCCTCTTTAAATAATGGTGACACTCTGGCAATTTTCATCATGGATGGAAAATTCCCGTATTCCAAGGATTTGTTAATTATTTTTGTAAGAATTGGAGTAACCTCCTTCATGCATGTTTTGACAGTTTTTACCTGAACTAAATCATAGCCAGTGGCTTTATTTGGGTCCAAATCACTGATTAGTTCTGTTATTTCCCTTTCACTTGTGTGTTTCAGAAATATGCTGTCCCGTTCAGTTTTTTCTAAAGTTAAATCTATCTCTTGATGCTTAATTTTGGATGCTAGATCTTCTCCAATCTTAGCAAAAAAAGTATTAAAACATTCTCCAATTTCTTTGGGGTCACTGGTGGATCTATTGTTAGAGGTTATTGAGGATATTTTATCTTTCTTATCTTTCCCTTTGTTTGTTAATATTTTGTTTATTGTGTCCCAGGTTTTTCTAGGGTTACCATCACATTTTTTAAATTCGTTTGTGTAGTATGTGTTTTTTGCGTTCCTTATGTTTATTTTAGCCTGTCTAATAGCGTCATTATATTTGTTCTTATAGTAAATGTTTGCTGGAAATAACTTATGTTTATGATAGAGGAAGTCTCTGTGTTTTATGCTGGTAAGAACATCTTTGTTAAACCAAGGCTGTGATTTACTTATTTTAATATTTTTCTTGGTTTTTAGCGTATTTGATTGAAAACAAGATATCAAAGCTTTGTAGCTTTCCTCAACATCATTGTCTGAGTTGATAACTATTTTGCTTGCTAACTGAGTAAGTTGGGATTTTATTTCAGGCACATTCACCTGCAGCATTTCTGTTACTTGTACTTTTTCTGTAGTTAGGTTCTGATTGATTGACAGGACTTGGAAATCATGATCACTTAGAGAGTTGTCTATTATTCCTAAGGAATTTATTCTTCTGCCTTGTCCGCTCTTCAAAGTAACCACCTAAGATTCAACAACTGTTGAAGAGCGATCCATGTGTATTAGGGTGGAGCGCTACTATAGCAAATTTTCATTTTTGCAACAGAGAGTTGTAATAGTGAAAAAAAATGCTATGGTTGATTATAAACATCGCCTCGAAAAACTTTTGGAAAAGAATTATATAATTTCTGTCCTCTACAAATCTCCTACTTTCGCCCTTTGCCACTTTGTGTACTGCACTAGAACATACCACGTATGACCTTTATTGGAATTCCGTCCACTGAATTCAATCTGCTGGCAAGTGGTTTCAGTCTGCTAACAGGTGCATTTAGGTGAATAAAACAAGTCCCACTCCTTGTTATCATCAGCAGTTTGGAATTGAAAGTGAGTGGTTCTAAAAAAATATCAACCAGGAGATTGGCGGGGTAACCTCTGTTTAGATATCCTCATGATTTCCGGAAAATTACCTCAGAATATTCAGACATTCATTGTCGAGACGAATTGATAACTATTTCGTCAAAGTAGAAACTTTACAAGCATATTTGAAAACTCTGTTATAAGTTCTTGTAAATAAACAATTCTAGACAAATAGTTCCTCCCCACCACAAAAAGTACCAGCTCAAGAAAATATTTCTCGACCGATCAGAGCAAACAAGAACAGAAAAATGGTCATAGGCAATGTGGATAGAGAACAAATGAAGAAATCGCAGAAAAACTGCACAGAAGAGACAAGTCAAACAGATATGAAATGAAATGAAATACTCCAACAGCTTCGAAAGAAGATCTGTATGTGAGAAAAATGATTCAGATTGCATCGAACTGAGAACATTCGCTCAGGTTTGTGATCGATATGACTTGTCAGACAGATCCGCAGCTGTGATAGCATCAGATCTTCTGAAGGACGCTGGAATCATCACAGAGGTAGATAAAGTTAATATTGTAGATAAAAGTGGGTTCAGGAGAGTAAGGAAAAGAAAAAGACACTGTTTGCAAGAGAAAGTGTTGAGAAGTCAATGAGACCTATCTTCTTTGGCGGTAGAGAAGATATAACTTTGGCTCAAGAAAAAGGTATAGAGCGAGGTATAGAGTTATAACCGAGGTTATTCGAGGCAACTGGTAGTAATTTGCCTGATGTAATCATTTCAGAATTGCAAACCGATCGATACTTGAAGTTGATTGATGCTGAAAATTTATAAATGTTCAAGAACTATCGTTGAGACGCTTACTGAAGCTCAGAAGAGACCTGTGTCAAAACATTCGTTATTCCTGAGTGAACTTCGAGCAAGTGATTGAATATAATAGACCTCATTGATTGGCATGCTATTGAAATAACAGCTCTACCTATTCTGAAAGATCTGAAGGAAAATACGATTTTAATAAAGAAACAAATACTAGTACACTCCGTCTTCTTCTTGTTCATACTCAGGCGGCTGAGAGGTGTGTCAAGTTATAGTAACTGCAGCTTCTCAGAGTGTGATTGCCTCCGAAGCTCGAGATGGCCTCCTTCAAGCCACTCTCGAATCAACAGTTGCAATGCCAACCTTGAACACGAAAAAATAATTCAATAAGAATCTTGAGGTAGAAGGATTTTCACCCCTATACAAAACGGTGGGTAGAGGGTAAAGGATACATCACAATTCACTAGAAAAAAATGAAGTTGATGATTGACCTACAGTTACTACTTCTTTTCACCATTAGAAATCAATATATAGAAGTTGATTATCAACCTGATCCAAGGGTGCGTAGAGGGCAGAAGGGATTATAATTTTATGTTCAAAAAAATCAAGGTGACAATTGAACTACAGTTACAACTTTTTTCCACTATTAGAACAAATACTAAAGAGTTTGATTTTTTCGCTCCACCCTAATGTGTATAAATAAAATTGAGAATGAATTGATAACGATATATCCACATATTTGGATTTTCGGACGACACAAGATAGCTATGTATATACCGGGTGGTCCGAAACCGATTTACCCCCATTTTTCTCTGTTGCCTACATGAATGGATGTTTGAAATTAGATTCATCGATTCGATTGCATGAGTGTATGATTTTGCTAGTATCAGATAAATAATGACAATCTGCAGGGAGATTCTATTTCACGAATCGAGTCGAATCGGCCATCTTTATTCGATATTTGGTATTCTGTTTCTCGAATGAATCGTGTAAACTCGACTCGATTCCTCGATAGCTCTAGAGGAGTCGAGTCGATGCGTTTTGTCAATCTATCCTTATAGAATAGAATAGAATTTATTGATCTCATAATATCAAATAATGACATAAGACAGGTCAAAAAGAACAAATTAAAATTGGAAAGTCCAGCCGAAACTAGAGCGTTTACCTTAAAATACCAAAATACAATAAATACAATATACAATCACATAATACAAAGCTAGAACAGCTAATTCAACGATTATTTTCAAAATATTCTTCGACCGAGTATGGACACATGTCAATGATCATCGAATGTTTCTTATCATCTTCATCTGAGTTTGAGGTTAGATCATCTTGTTTATGTGAGAGCACAGCTTTGGATGTGTCTAATCAACTTATTACTTCATAAATATAATATATAGTTAATTTTCGATGTCGTTCAAACTCAGAGATTCCCACTGGGACATGTTAATAACATTTTTAGAACAGCACAGAACATGGCCACTGCCACAGAATGATTTTCAGAGTCAAATGGTCGTGAAATCAATAAAAAACTGTGAATCAGGCTAGGCCAAGTAAATTGGAGGCTTTGCGAGTGAACTCCTGAGAAATGCCATGAGGTAGCATCTTTGGGATCATCCAGTTGCATAACAATGCCCAGAATATTTGAGATTCTGTATATTCCCTTCATATTTTGACCTTTGACCTAAGTGGGGTCTCAATGATTATATCAGAAGACGAATCAACCTTATGAATCTAAATAGCTCAATACATATTTTTTGAGGTAGGGAAAGAAAGAGGATTAGGTAGGTACCTACTTCTGTTTCATAGTTCTTGTCAACGAATTATCTTTGGCTGATGAAATACCATCTGGAACAATTAGAATTATTTTTATATTTGTCTTGGGAATCTTGGGATTGAAATAATTTGAATTCATAAAAACAATATAACCTCATTCAATAGAATAGGAAACGAATTCGACTTCGAGTTCATCATCGTATCGTACGCCAATCGACGATCGTGTACATCCAATTCTTTTATTTCAAAAATAAAGTATAAATTTTTTTGTAATCACGGTTTAGTATAAAATTACCTTCTGAACGAAGTATCACAATCATATTTTCAATCCACAATCTAGTCATATAATTGAGATTTTACAAAAAAATATGTTTTGTATTCTCCTCGTAAATGAATATGTTGATGAAAGTTTGCTATGTCTAATACAATAGCATGTGAGTAGAAATAATTAGATGTCAAACTTTTTACACAATAATTTTTATGAACAATTACTATTTTTTACAAATTTTTTTCCCCTTTATTCTCCAATACCAAATGAGCTCCTTATGTTTAAATGCTATCATAGAATTTTTTGAGGTTGGTTAGAAACTGCCATAGATATTGAAATACAAGACAGCAAAAAAATTCAATTTTCTGTTCCCTATTCAGCTTCAATGAAAATAATCTCGATCATATACGTACTTTCATTGTATCGAACCTTTCATCTTCATATTAGTCGGCTACGATATTGAATTTTCTATGATTTTAGAATTATTATTGAAACTGCGAAATCTGATGTAACAAAATATTGAAAAGATTGAAAGTATGATTGTAATATATCGTTGAAAAGGTAATTCCATACTGAATCGTAATTTCCAGAAGAAAATATACTTTGTATTTGCACTAAAAAAATTGGATGCAGTTCTGGTCAAACCGGATGTGTCATATGTGGTACTGATAGTAGCGGAAATATACACTCATCAAATCAAATCGATGTATCAAATTTGAAACATCCATACAAAATAGTAACGATGATTCAAAGGTTCAATTGTGTCCTGGTCACCCGGTATATACAGGGTTTTTTCCTTAAAACTCCAATATCTCGAAAACGAATAGAAATATTTAATTTCTGTAGGATGTAGTCAAAGGATGGAGTCAAGTAGATTTCAATGGAAGTTCAAAAAATGCATCGCCTACTAAGAGCTGAGCGTCGCGACGCGTCGAAAACATAAATCGATTGCATTGCCTTTGAGATTACGCACACTCAACAGTACATGTTATTGATTATATTTCGCTCAGCTTTTAGTAGGCGTTGAATCTAGTTGACCCCATCCGTTGACTACATTTTACAGAAATCAAATATTTCTATTCGTTTCATCCATTGACTACATTTTACAGAAATCAAATATTTTTATTCGTTTTCAAGATAATGGCGTGCGGAGTTATGAGTGGAAACCCTGTATTTACTGTTGATAATAATAACTGTAATAACAAAAACAAAAATCATTGTAAGTATTTTCTACCTGTTTTTCAGTAATTCATTGTCAAATCCATAAAAATTATACCTCGCCTCCTAGGTTTTCATTTGGAATGACAATGAGTAGATAGCTACAATATATTATATAATCATATTATGAAAAAAATTTACAATGAATTTATATTTGCAGGCTTCCAACTCTCATAAGGCACCATTCGAATTCGAGAAAATTGAACACGTACAAGAACTGAAAGACAGTCAACACGAAGGTCCTATATGGTGCATGAAGTTCTCTGGCTGCGGGAGGTTATTAGCAACTGCCGGCCAGGATAAAATATTACGAATTTGGATTGTTCGAGATGCATTTCCATTTTTCCAAGTTAGTTGATTATTTATCATTATAATATTCTAGAGCATTCCTGATATCTTCAAATCATTCTCAACAATGATTGGAGAACATTCATGATCACCGAATAATATTCCTGTAACCCTTTTTTCATTGCTGATACATGTTGAAATTCGAAAATCGTTTTGGGACATTACCAAATTCTTTAAACGGTCCAGAGCATTTGAGACGTCTTGTTAAATATTGAAGTATTCTCAGGATTGTTCACCTGATTTTTGAGATACCTAAGAACAGTCTGAGACATTTTTGAATTTTCTACAATTTCTCAACATTTCCAAAATCTTCAGAACATCTGAGAATATTCCTGGAAGTTATAGATCATTTCAGAAAACTTAATGGTATTTCTTGTACAATTCTGGAACATTTGAGAACCTTCAGGAATATTTTACAACATTCAAAAAGTGTTGGTGGAATCTTTCCTGAACATTTCTGGAACATTTGAAATTGCGAAAATATACTCTATATTTATTGAACTTGCTAGAATATTCGAGATCAATTTCAAACATCCTGAAACATTTGAGTACCTACATAAAAACAAATTATTGAATAGAAAACCTGTACAGGGTGTCCCAAATTCATCATCAGAATCTCGGAAAGAAGACACACGAGATCGGTTAAATTAAGGCAAAGTTCAATTTCATGCCCTACAAATGAAGTTTAGAAAAAAAATTGAAAAATCTCAAATACCTCCGAAGATTCTTGGAAAAACAAAAATGTTCGCGATCTCATTTCTATTATTTTATGACTATATTTGAATAGATTTAACAAAATGAATTACACATTCCCATTGCTACTTTTCATGTTCTACAAGATGGTGTTATCAGAATTTTGAACCGATCTTTTGCGTTTGAGCTGCCATCAGCAACTTCTCCTGAAATCAACGGAGTGTCGCACTTATTCCTAAAATGTGTGTTTTCAATCCAATTAAAAATCTATTCTCTTTCTCTCCCTAACACGTGAGTTCTTATGAAAAATGCCATTAATATAAATTTTTAAAATTATTGCCATACACGATTCATTTTAGGAGATTGAAAGCTCTTATCTCTTCTACTTTTCGGGATCCCAATATTCAGGCTCGAATTTGGGACACCCTGTATAGGGACAAACCAGTTCACCGAAGATTAAACGAAAACTGACCCGAAGACCTTCTTCAACATATATACACTTCCAAGCTCAAACTTTTTACTAAATATAGTCTGTGTTGAAGTACATTGTAAAATGGCACTAAATTGAAAGAAAATGAAAATATCTATTACATTCTGAAGTATGTCTCACTTTGAGCAGCCCACACTTACATTCTCTCATTTATTATGATATTATTTTGATTACAAAAAACATTGCATTTTTAAAAAATTACTACAGTGCTAGTGCACATTTCAATTGTATGCATAGTAAATAGTTTATCATGATACAAGTGACACCAAAAATAAGTCTGTGAAAAAGGTTACATTAAATGAAAGTTCAAGAATACCCCCCTCTTCATCACATGTTCAGTTAATAGTTTCGGGTCTTCTAACAAGAGGGTAGAGTATGCAATACTTTTTCCACGGTATCACTCTTTTCATATCTGAACAAGAACCAATTTGCATGCATTTACTAATCTTTTGAAATCATCAATTTTTAATGCAGATTCAGATTCGAATGGTGACGCTGCTGCATGCGAGCACAAATTGATAATTGTCTATGAAATGTTGAAAACGCTGGAAGTTCATTACTTCAAAGTTGCATGCATTGAACAAAAAATCGAAAAAACTGTTACTACCGGCAAGTTTTTTGGCTCAGTTTCGTACCGACTGATTTCACATGTTCGTTCCACCATAACATCTTGTAAATTCTCTCACCTAAAAACTGTACATGGTCTGACAGTTCGATTACCATGTAATCTTCCAGGTTCATATTAAGCGGTGACTCAAACCCAAGGTGAATAAAAATTGTGTTTTGTTTTTCATTACAATTTGTTTGTTTATCTGAAACAAGTGATTTGCAGAGATGAGCGACTTAATTTTATTTTGGCGTACACTAATAAGTTGGTATCATCAGCATAATTTGTTGGTTGGCACATGTTTCGGTCTAGGTCATCAATCAGCTCATTGGTATAAACAATTAATAAAATTGCTCCCAATATGCTGCCGCCCTGGGGTACTTCCACATTATTGATGTTCAGAACTATAGGCCAGTATCAAAACTCTGCATCCTTGCCAAATTATTTGAATCAATAATATTCGAATTTCTCAGCTATGACATCATTCGTATTCTCAACATCGAACAACACGGATTCATTAAAAAAAGATCAGTAGAAACAAATTTATTTGACCATACTGAGTACGTACTTGAGAACCTGAACAATAGGAATCAAGTGGACGCAGTTTTCACCGACTTCAGCAAGGCTTTCGACAAGATAGACCATGGTTTGCTTGTGCTCAAGCTAGCTGAGGTTGGCATTAGTGGAACACTTTTGAGCTGGTTTGAATCATACGTTAACAATCGCTCTCAGGCAACAACCATAGGAAACTATGTATCACAAACAATTTCCATAACTTCCGGGGTACCTCAAGGTTCGTATCTAGGACCCCTCCTCTTTAATTTATACATAAATGATATCTCTAAATGTTTCAAGTTCTCGAGATTCATAATGTATGCTGATGATTTAAAGATCTACCACAGTGTAAAAAAACCACTGGACGCTATCTTGGTCCAACAAGATTTAGACAGACTTTACTCATATTACACAGAAAATGCTTTATATTTGAATTTTAACAAATGCCATCAGATCACTTTCAGTAGAAATAATGATCCAATCATTTTTAATTCCAGACTATCAAATCATGTACTCGATATTCTCACTGAGGTGAAAGATTTGGGAATAATTTTCGATACAAGAATGTTGTTCCACAAGCATATTGCATATATTTCTAAAAAGGCAAATAGGACCCTAGGCTTCATCATCAGATCGTGTTATAATTTTAAAGATCCTAAAACTGCTCGTATCCTCTTCATGTCCTATGTCAATAGCACCTTAAGTTATGCCTCTACAATCTGGAATCCCCAATACATTATTCACATAAAACAAGTAGAGAATATTCAAAACAAATTCATACACTATATTCTCAATAAATACTTCCGTAACACGCCTCATGTCGATAAAACTTTTATAAGCAGAAAGTTGAATTTACTTAGTCTCGAAAATAGAAGAGATATTGCCGACATAAAATTTTCGTTTAAGTTGGTAAATAATATGATAGACTCAATCCCAATTAATAATTTCATTCGATATAACGTACCGCAATACCCCACTCGAAGTCATCAATTATTTCACACAAAAGCGGCCAACACAAATTACTATTTGAACTCCCCCCATCATCGTTGCTTCAAAAGCTATAATTCAATATCAAATCTGATTGATATTGATATATTTTTTAATTCATTTACCACCTTTGTAAATAAACTCAAAACATACTTTTTCTCGAACCTCTGAATCCTCGTTAGCACCTTGCAGATTTATTGTATTCCTTTTAAATTTCTTTAAAATTTTGTATACCATCCTAAGTTAAATAAGGTTCCCCACTAAATTTCTAAGATGAGTATTATAATAACCATAATGTTATATGACTACCTGTGAATTCTGTTTTTAGGCTCGTCCTGTTTGTATTCCTGAATATATAAAAATAAATAAAATAAATATCTGATTTCACCTTTCAATTTCCCTTTTGTATTGTTGTTCTCTGTCTGTATGCCTGCTCTAAGCCAATCCAGAGCTGGTCCCCTCACACCGTATCTGTCCAATTTGCACAATAATATGTCTTGATTGAGACAATAATAGGCCTAAGAAAGATCTACGAACGCTCCAAGTGCTAATTCTCCCTTTTCTAGCTGAAGCAAAATACCTTGCACAAAATGAATGATAGCAGTCTGAGTTGACTTTCCTTTTTTATATCCATGTTGTATGCTATTAACTAATTGGTTAGACTAGGTGGTTACTCATTATTTTCTCAAACATTTTAGCAAACAACTGTGATAAACTAATTGGGCGGTAATTTTCTATTTTTCACTGATCCCATTGTTGTGTAGTGGAATCACTAATGGTAATTTTATTTACGATATATGTGAATCGGCTCTCTCTCATTTTGAATAGAATCCTAATTTCTCCACATGGTTCGATTGGTCTTCTTATTCTAAGTTTAGATAACCTGATTCATGTCAACTTATCTATCAGAATTTTCGAAATATGCCGATTTTTGTGAAAATAATTACCGTCATAGTAGTTTACGAAAACTACAAATTTGTGGTACAGTTAGCTGAAAGTCCAGGCTAACTCCTGACGTCCCATCGGTGGTCTCATTTCGTACCATATGGGCGCGGGCGATTTTCGAATGTCGCGTAGAAAAATTGCCGAAAACTCAATGAAATAAAATTGAATTTGAGCATGAGTTACTCAAGCATTATTGATACCCAACTCAATCCTCCATCAAGTTATTCAATGAAAATAATTAAAATTGTGCAAACGTGTTTTATCAGTGTAGGTCTAATAGTGATGTGAAATCAACGATACAGTTTTTTCCGTATACAGGGTGTACGGAAAGGTCATGTCGTAAATGATAGGGCTGATAGAGTGAACCAAAATAATGTGAGTAAAAAAATGTCTATCGCACTTCGTTACGGAGTTATTGACATTGAATGTTTGAATAAAGAAAATATATTTCATGTCTAACTTTTAAACTGTTGACATGGTTTCAATGATATTCGGGTAATTAAATTAACTCATACTAATGCTCCTTTCGATATGTAAATGGCTGTTCAGTGATTACTGATAAAAATAATTAAATCTGACCATAGACTGCAATGGCATGAATTATAGATTTTACTCAAAAATGACTCAAATTGGATTTCTACAGGAATAGCAATCATTGTCCCACGGTAATAATGAAGAATATTTACGTTACAGGAATAGCCCAAAAATGTCTTAGGATATTTGT